TAGGAAACTGAGTAGAAAAATGGTATTTCATTATCTTATTCAACCATTTATATAGCACTTACGATAAACCAGGCGCTGTTCTGAGCAATTTAAGATATCAGTTCACCTAATTAGAACAACACTGAATCAAGGAGGTACTCTTATCCAAATCTATAGACAGAGAAGCAGGTGTAGAGAGGTTAGGTGACTTGCCCAAGGTCACACAGCTGGTCAGAGGCAAAGCTGGGGTCTGAAGGCAGCAGCCGGCTCCACAGTCCACGTGCTCTGAACTACCTACCACACTGCACTGGTGGCAAGGCTGACTTATCAGAAAATTAATCCCAGGAAGAATTTATTCAAATATCTAGACATGTTCCACTTCTGCAGAGGCTGACCTTATGATAATTTTAAGCTAATTCCAGAATATAGCTGCAACTCTGGATACATTTCATTAAAATAAAAGACAAGTCAAGGGCCATCGAGTAACCAGAGCTGTCAGAAAGTCCATCCAATTTGCTCTGCAGGAGAGGCTCTCTGTGGAGCCTGTCCCATCTATTGGTTTGCACTGTGAACAAACCTAGTTACCATTCCAGGCGGGGCAGTTCTGAAGGACAGTAAATTAGATGGTAAAAGCAACAAAAAGCAAGAAGAAATAGAAGAACTGACAGTAGCCACTGAAGTAGGAGACCGAACATTTACAAAACGAGACATAAATCCTAAAAGTAGTCTAGGCTTTCTTAAAGTAGGAAGAAAAGGCCGAAGACCCATCTCAAATGCCCCTGAGCATCACTGGATAGAACAGAGAACACAAAGTTTAGAAGGACCTCTCCTGGATTGCAGATGGCAAGGCCTGGGTCTGATGGCATGAAACCACCTGAGGATGCACAAGGCCCAGCTCGCTGCCATGTAATATTCAGTGACACCTTGTTTGAAAGTGGCCCATGAGAAGGGAAGCTTGAGGACATTCAAACACCTGCCTGGTGGGAGCCAGCCTGGCGGAGCGCTGGGTAGCCGTGTGTGTTGCATCCTCCCTCTGCACAACGGTGCTGGCTAAATGGGAATTATATGTTGGTGTGGGGTCAGCAGCCTACACTGATGATTTTCTTTCAAGGTTCTATGAAATTCTTGAGTGTTACACAGCTGGCTGCAAGGATGATGTTTATCATGCATGTGTCCTCTCTGTGGGGAATGCATAAAAATAACCCTTTCTGATTTTAGTACCAAGAATAGTTATCTCTCTCCTTAACCACTGATTCATTCGTATCTGCAGGCACAGGAGCTGTGTAACTAGCTTATTCAGGTTTCACTTTCCACTTTGGCTGCTAGGAAACTAGGGTCAAATTAGTGACTCTCAATGTAGGAAGCTCACTGATCATCACAGAATGAGTTTAAGGTTCATTCCAGACTCCATGCTGTGTTCACCCTCTCCTTCCCTTTTCTAGCTTTTTTACCTATTTTATCTTGTATTTCAAACTTCCTTGAAGGCCAGTTTATATCCTTTCTGGAATTAGGTAAAGAGTAAATACACGAAGACATGAATGAATGAATAAAATGTAGATGGGAAAACTGAGGTTCAGAGACCCCCTAAGTGACCAGTTCATAACAAGCAACGATCTGTTTCCTGACGTTCCAGACGTTCGACTTAGTATCCCTTAAATAAAATGTATTAAAAGTGGGATCCTCTAAATCATATTTAAAATACCATTTATAAGAAGAAAGAAAAATAAAGATGTTGGATAAATGAGACTTTTCTGGATAAAGAACACACCAAGAAAATACCTATTTTGTAGCAGTGAAATACAAGAAAATGTTTAGTACTTGAAATCCCCTCGAGCAGGTCCATAAACTTATTTGGATCCCTAATGTATTTCAAGAAATACCTAGGATATGTCAAATCTGCATGTTAGGTTACGGTAACCACACCAGACAGAACGTTTCCAACTGTGGTGTCTGTAAAGTAAAAAAACTCTGAACTCAAAGTTGTCAGCCAGAAGTTGATATTGGAACTGAGTGTCACATTTTATTAGAATGGGATCATAGCCATTTATCAGAATAATGTTTTCATCAGTCACTGAGGTATTAGCTCGCTTTGAAAGTTCTGAGACAATCTGAAGAAAGTGTAGGAAGAATGCATAAGTATGACATTAAGTTCCAGAAGGGAGACATGAAATAGTAGACAGCTTAAAAGGTCAGTAGTTAAAGCTTCACCCTGTAACTCAGCTCATTTAGAAGCCAGTGCCTTATTGTTTTTACCCTCCCAGGTGTTATCCCTGCATTTTAAAATTTCCTTCATTATAGGGAACAGCACAAGCACTGTAGAACAAATTTCAAAAGGAATACATGTTATAAAAGATTTGTTATATGTTAAATGAATTTAGGGGCTGACTAATGTCTTTAAGAAACAAATTAGGGACAGTCCCAAGTTTCTGGGAACAGAATATAGCTCAAAGATTTTCATAGATTTCACTGCAAGAAAAATGCAACTGATCACAGTCGCAAAGACTGAAGAATTAGCCAACTGCCAAGAAATACTCCATGATGTTAGAGCGGAAAGCATGACTATGAGATAAGGAAGCTGACTTTTATTTATTTATTTATTTTATTTTATTTTAATTGGGGAATTGGGGAAGGGGAACAGTGTTAGGGAATTGGGGAAGGAGAACAGCCAAGTTGCTGTCTTTCAATCTTATTTGTGGTGGGTGCAGCTAGCTCAGCTCTAAGTCCAGTCACCATCCGGCCACCCATCGGCAGCTCACAGCTGTTCAGCTCAAGATGCTGAGTTCAATCTTAGTTGTGGGTGGGCATAGCCCACCAACCCATTCGGGAGTTGAACCAGCAACCTTGTTGTTAGAAGCACGTGGTCTTACCAGCTGAGCCATCCTGCTGCCTGCTGGCAGCTCAGCGGCAGCTCAGCTTGAGGCTCAGCTCACTGGCCCATGTAGGAATTGAACCAGCGACCCTGTTGCTCAGAGCTCGCGCTTTTAACCAACTGAGTGACTCGGCCAGCCCAGGAAGCTGACTTTTAAACAGATCTGTACGTAGTTGCTCAGAAATACAAATAAAAGCCGCCTTCAAGTCTTCAAAGTCATCACTTTGAGAGGCTGATGTTTAATAATGCAATAGTATAAACACTTTGAGAATCCTTTGGTTTACGCAGTCAGGGCCCCCAGCACTTTATTTTGCTTTTTTTTTTTTTTTAATTAGTTGAGCCATCCTGCCACCTGTTGGCAGCTCAGCGGCTGCTCAGCTCGGACTGGGACTCGAACCGCTGTTGCTCAGAGCTCACACTCTTGAGCGAGCTCTTAACCAACTGAGCCACATGGCCAGCCTGCCAGCACTTTATTTTGAATATCCTCTATGGTAGCCAATCTTTACCTTTGAAGGGGATTTGGAGCTACTTAGGTTAAAAAAAAAAACAAACAAACCAGGACTCTGTGCAGGACTCACGCTTGTGCATGCTGTTTGTATGTATGTTTTAGCATGTGATTCAAACACCAGTTTTGAAGATTATTTCTATGATGTTGGAAGCAGCAGTCATATTCATGCCATTAGAGTACAATTTTGTTCAAGATGACATAGTAGTTATTGGTTATTGTCACATGACTTGATAACAACTACCACCACCATATATTGAGCGCCTGGTGTGTGGCACACACGGTGCTAAGTATCTGACATACATACTCCAGTTTAATCTTTGGGACTCCATAGTTAGGTGCAGTTATTATCTCCACTGTATACAAGAAAACACTGAGGCTTCAAAGTCCAGAAGTCACGAGGTTAGTAGGTGACAGGGCAGGGATCTGAACCTGGGATTGTCTGATACCAGACTTCATGCTCTTCCCACATAGTAAGTAAGACCTCTTACAGCTCTGCTGGGACCTGGGAACATGTGCTCTACCTGGAAACTTGTGCTGGAATTTATTCAAAGAGGGGGAAGAAAAGGAGGGAGAGAAGAGGGAGGGGGGAAGAGAGAGAGAGAGAGAGAGAGAGAGAGAGAGAGAGCGAATCACTACTCCCAAGGGTAGTTTGATTGTTTCCCCAGATGAGTATGAAGGGATAACGCTGACGGGTGAAAGTCAGAGAATGTTCCAGCAGTAGTGTGGGATGGGAGTGGGCCCTTCTGGGGCCAGGACAGGAAAAAAACCAGTGAAAGCAGGATAGGACTTGAAGGTGTAAATGGATAAACACTCACAGGTTACCACCTAACTTCTGGCAGGCACAAAAAAACTTCTGAAATTCTGCCAAATTTTAAGCGGAATGATTTTAAAATCAGTATGGCAATCATCAAAACTATTATACAGAAGAGTATTTAGATTAAAAGTGTTATATAAATAACTAATCATCTTCACAGGATAAGCATTCCTAAATGTTAACTGTCAGTAATCTGGCTAAAGTAATTTTTAAAAACCCAGCTAGGGGCCGGCCCAGTGGCGCGATGGTTAAGAACTCGCTTGGGATGCCAGAGGGCCCCGGTTCGGATCCCACATATGAGGGCCAGTGACACTGCCCTCTACAGCTAAGATGCTGAACAACAGCTCAACCTGGAGCTGGGCTGCCGGGAGTCGCCGGCGACGGCGTGGGCTGCAGACCCTGTGGTAGTGGGTTGCCATAAGCTACCGTGTGTGGCCAGCAGCCAGCGTGAGTGGCCAGCAGCCAGCGTGAGTGGCCAGCAGCCGCAGTGAGCGGCCGTCCAGAAGCTGGCGACTGATCTGCCTCGCCAGAGAAGAGCGCAATGATGGTGCCAACTTGGGCCAGTGAAGCAACGTCCTCCACAACTAGACTGAAGAACAAAACGACAGCAACTTGTCTGTTCCCCTTCCCCCAATTCCCCAGCACTGTTCCCATCCCCCCAATTCCCCAATAAAAATCTTAAAAAAAAAAAAACCCAGCTAGAGGAAATGTTTATGTCCAATGTGATATCATTTCCTGGCTACGTATTTAAATCTTTGGCCTTTATGGTACTCAGGCATGCACGAATGTTAACCTTTTCAGAGTTTCATATAAAGGTAAAGAAAAATTACCTGGTGGTATTTCTTTAGGATGTTGTGCATCTCGGCCACATCTTCACTTGTAATGGTCTTGATAACGTATCTTTTGTCGTAGGACGTGTGGAACCGGGCTCCACTGCGTGCCTGGGAGTCGTTGGGGAGGGGTGCGCTCCTGGTCAAGGAGTTCTTCCCGTCGTGATGAGAGGGAAGAGAACCAGTTAAAGCCGTGGCTTTCCGATTTCTGGATAAGTTAGTGTCATCACAACTTTTTCAAAAACATTTGTGTTTGAAAGAAATTGGTAAATAGGATGGTGACATTCTATATTCACCATAACTCAAATTTCTAGTCTTGCAAATGGAATGAAAACAGCTTAGTTTATACTATGATTCTAACATCCTTAAAGTAGACTAAGGTCTAGAATTATCATCAGAGTTATTTTGTTCACCCTGCTCTTTTCCAAGTTGGACAAGAGCTCAAATTTTCTTCTGAGTAAAATTAGGTTCCAGTCATGAAAGAAAATTTGACATTCACTGAATATTTCCTTAATGGCAGGTATTATGCCAAGCATTAGGCAATAGAGCATTTCTCCCAATTCTGGTAACAGCCCTGTGAAATCGTTACTATGAACATCATCATCATTTCACAGATGAGGCGATGGGGGTCAGAGAGGTTTAGTAATTGGGCAAAGGTCACACAGCGAGTAACTGGAAGAGCTAGAATTCCATCGCCAGTGTGGAATTCTAAGTTCCACACCTAAGTTCTCAACTACTGAACTACTCAGCAACTTCTGCTGCCTGTGCTGTGCCCCTGGAGGAACCTGGGCAGCTATATTCTAAAATAGCTCCTCGGAAGATTCTGATTTGGTCCATCTTCCACACCCTCCTTCAGCCTTTTTTGAGAAGGAATATTCTTCTGGAGGGTGGACGAGGAGGGGCTCTGAGGAGGGGCTCCTCTAGTACCATTTCATTCCAGTATCTGGCTCATGCTACTGACACTCTAGCTAGGTAAGTCTACCCTTTTCTCACATGTAGACTCTCCTGTTTGAATTTCCTGTTTCTTAGAGCCTCCAGGAGGCCTCTGTCCCTTCCCCCAACCTTCATACAATGGCCACGAGACTACTGGGATTAGCACACTCCAAGCATCTGAGAAGTCTGGTCTTCACCCCTGCTGACTGCTCTTCAGTGTTGACCTTCCCTCCCTGCCTGGCCCCACTGGGGTGCATATGAGGGATGATGCAAAGGCAGACACTTCTGCTCAACTTCCACTCTCAAAGTAGGCATTCAAAAACCCCAGTGAACGAACGCTGTCTAGTTAAAGGGACACTGCATATCACTGCATCATAGGTTTCCAATGGAAGACTTCCCTTTCTGCCTAGTATAGTCACGTCTCTTTAATCTTTCCTTCGTTTCTAGATAAAATCCAACAGTAATCAGCCACACAAAGTGTAAGTATGCTGCGTGGCACAGTAGCACATGCAGGTCCTTTGCGAGGCAGAGGGAAGTGGCCTGTGAGCTCCTTCTCATTTCTGAGGACAGGCCTTAGCACCGCGTATTCCATCCTGAAATGGTACAGCTGGATTTGAATGAAAGCAGGTATACCTGTCAAGCAGGGCCAATACTGCCAATGAACTGAATTTGCTTTTCTTAGCTTATTGGAAAACTGGAGAGAAGGGGGGAAAAAATCAGGGTAACTGCCAATGACTTTAAATAACAGGACTTGGCAGTGTTAAATTATTCTTAAGACAACTGAAGTTCATTAGCTAGACTGCAATGATGAAAATGATTTTCAGGTTGAAAATGTCTATATTAACAGGAGTTTAATTCTCAATTATGCTGCTTTTTTCCTCAAAAAACAAACAAACAAAACTCCTTTACATACTTTTTCCTACTGAGAATAAAAGGTAGAAAATCAAAGTGTCCCCTTTGGGGTTTGAAACACTAGAAAAGAAAGCAATTGTTGCTCTTTGCTAATGGTCTTTCTTTTTCCTCCCAAACATTTATGTGCAAAAGGTATTCTAAATAAAACAAGAATACTAGGAACCGTGAGATTACAAATTACTTTCAGGCATAAAATCAAAGCAGGAACAACCAACTTCATGACAGTTAGGCAGAACAGGCTATGAACTTTGTACAACTGATACTACATGTAAAATAACTTTTGAGGAGAGTGGGGAATAATAGTAAAGGCTAATTGTATCCAGCGAAGGGCAGAATTACAGCAGCATCAGTTCCACAGATCGTTTTCTTTGGCATATTAGATATGAAAGGATAATGTTCTATCACGGACCAATGGGATAGAAAAAAATTGAAAGCTGCATAGTCAGCGTTTTTCAAACTTTAATGAGCAACCAAGTCACCCGGGGATCATGTTCAAATTCGGATTCTGACCCAGCAGGTGTGGGTGGGGCATTTGAAAAGCAGATGATGCTGATACAGCAGAGCTTCCCATCATACATGAGAACCAAGAGTTTACTGAATTGTGGCTACAATGTGTTTTGTCTGGTGCAGAGTGCTCAGAGTCTATGCATTAAGTGTGTTATAATTATAGATTTCCCTACATGAACACCTTTCCCGTTATAGTCTGTCTATCTCTGGTTTGGTTAAAATGAGAAAGCTTACAGTGAAGAATAATAGTTCATTGCACTCACTGTATTAGTTCATTAAAGCAATGCTTAATAGTACTTTGTTCAAGGCAATGTTTGGATTTCTAAGGTATAGGGCTGGAACTGCATAGTCAAACAATACCATAACTCCTCAGCTCACATGCCACCTCCTTCCAAATTCTTTGTTTCCCTTTAGTTTCAAAGACATTGATAATTATTTATTATAGACTTTGCATTAGGATACTGGTCATGCGATACAATACCTTACAAATTCTAATCTTGATTCTGCTGCAACTCAATTTTTCAGTAATTAAATGAGTAGCCCCAACCCATAATATCTACTTCCAGTGTGGAAGGATTTTTTTTTTTTAAAGCTCTTAGTTTTCAAATAATCAGTGAAGTCAGGGACAGACACTTAGTCAAAATTTAAAACATACCTTTTATAATCACTATAAATATAAGGACATACAAATCAAATTTACTGAAAGCCTTGTACAAGCAGAAAAATCAGAAAAGTAAGCACAACTGCACACAAAATGCATGATCCTTGAAAGGATTGAAGACTGGAAGAATCCAACTCATTACTTCCTACTTATTTTCACAGCATTCCTGTGAGATAGGAAAGCCAGGTGCATTTTCTTACTTGATGATAACAAAACTGGCATACAATGGAGTCGTGTAATATGCCTTTGGTCCTGCCCTAACGGTTCCTCTGAGGTAACCAAAAAAGGGCAATTTACAAAGACAAGATTAAACTTCTGTTATTACTTAACATTAGAACAATAGTTTTTTTGGTAGCCTTTGAAATAAGGTAGCAGTGTTCATTTGTTTGTGTGAAAAGGCAGTACTGTGTAATGGCAGGGCGCTCGCTGGTCTGGGGCCCAGAACATGCTTGGCCACTCATCACCCCTTGGGTATGTATGTCATAGAGATTTGAGCCTCAATTTCTGGGTCTGTAAAGTGACAGAGAATAAGCCCAGGGGGGCTGAATTTGATTTCTACCTCAGACCTTTTATAACTCTAAAAATGTATTTACTTGACACAGCACACTGCTCTAGGGACTGCTGGAGAGCACAGGCCTTAGAAGGTGATTTGATATGTCCCCCAACCACAGTCCAGTCAGAAGAGAGTACAAACATCATCTCAGCTGGGGCACGACAATGGTTTAGGACATCTGGGCCAAGATTAAAGGGACGATGACACTAGTTCCTAGAGCAGCATGAAAATAATTCTTCATAGATTCCAGATGTACTCAGGACAACTCCAGCGAGAAGAAGAAGATGAGTTAAGGAAAGGAGGTCATGGCTACATATCGAAAGTCTTCTGGGGGTCCTAAAAACAGTCTACTATCTAGTGAAACTGTATACTGAAATCCCTCAGTGTGCTTTGTTCTATCACAAAGGAAAAACGAACCACAGCATCATACAGGATGCTTGGACACGTTTGGGAGGCCAAGAAGAGAAAGCCCTGAGAAGAAACAGAGCTTGGGAGTGACATTTAGGGGACCCCAAAGGGTCCCTTTATGTGTAAATAATTCTCATAATCAAAGAGTGTGACAATTGCAATCAATATTGGAGATTATTCCAAAGCACTCCACTTACAGATCAGGAAACAGAGAGCAGAGAGTTGAAATGACTTGCCTATCTAAACTCATCAACCGTGGAGTGGGATGGTGTATGTGGAGGGCTTTGCAGGACCCTCGCCCAGAGCAGTCGGCCTCCATCCCTCCTGTCACTGCTGCCTCCCTGCCTGAGCCTGAGAGTGTGTGGGAGCTATGATGAGACTGTGGATATATATTTTTCTGTGGTGACAAACACTTTCTAATCACAATTTAGAGCCTGAGCCAACTGGCAAAAAACCAAATCTCTCTTTAGGTTTTCAATGTTGCCAAGAAAAACGTGTGAAAATATCAAGAACAGTGTCAATGCTAATGCAGTCCAGAGTCCTTGATTTACGCTTTCATTAACACTTGCACAAATCTATGTTGACTCGTTCTAGGACTGTTCATTACCTGACTTTACCTGAGGTGGCTAGGAACAGGAATCATCTCTCAGGGCTAGAGCTGAGACAGATGTGTGTCTGAAGGACAAGCCTTTAGGACAGGAAAACTATGAGCTGCTGAGCCTAGGGCTTAGAGTCAGACAATCATGTGGCACAAAGACAGGGCCGAAAGGTGTCTAACAATCCCGTGACAATGTCAATCCTAAGACTTCTTGACATTTCTGGCACAGTTCATCATGTCTGTTTAAATTAATTCACGTGTTCTAAGAATAGCTGGTTTTCATTCTCTTTTGGTCACTGGCTTTTATCTTTAGAAGACCGTCCCATCTGCTGTCTTTACGTGCTTAAAACTCGATGGGTTTCTTGGAAAAGAATGCCAGAGCTGAAAGGAGTAACCTTTACACTGAGAATGCTGAATTCTGGGATACTCTATAATATTAATTGGGGGACAGGGAGTTGGGTGGAGGGGACAGAGAAAAATAAGTTAAGACAAAATTTGCAAGTATAGACAAGGTTTGCATGGAAGAAAGAAGGTCTAGCCGAAGGCACCATTTCTAAAAATTCTTTCTCATCTTAAGCACC